CCCCTCCTACTCCTCCTCCTCCTCCTCCTCCTCCATCTTTTGCTTCTCCTCCTTTAGGTCGCGCGCATGTCTTTCCGCATCCCAGTCATTGCGACATTCCTCGGCGCTTAGCGGGCAGGACGCTTGGCCAATTCCTTGCGGCGGGCCAGGAGCGGGCAGCGGTCGTGCTCGCGTGCGTCGATCGTTCGCTTTTTCGCCTGCTCGTCCGCTTTACCTGGAGCCGCTGGCACGCCCACGGCAGCTTAGAGTGCGCGTCTCGATTTTGCTCAGGCCCTCGGCGTGTTGTTTGTTGTTCGTGTCTGACGGGTGCTTCCCGTCAGCAAGCGATATCGCGAGAACGGGGCCCAAGTCAACACAATCTTTCTAGCTTGTCAGCGCACTTTAGTTCACGCGGTGCAGCGCATCATGTGTTTACTGGTTCACCGTCTCCTCACTCCATCGATCCATCTGGTCTCGCTGTTCGCATGTGCCCGTACGATTGCGAGGATAGGGAAGTTGTTGGGTGGCGGAGGCTCTCCCTAAAAATCGGTTGAAGCGAGATTGAGTGTGAAACAGTCGCTAAATGCATATCCATCAAGGGCGAGGATGAGCGGAACAGGTCCCCATCAACGTTATTTCAACCACGGAGGGATTTTCTTTCAGCCCGTTAAGTTGTAGTGAACCTTGGCACAGTCGTGGAGCATGTTGGGTTGCTCTTGGGGTCATTGGCTGGCACCGATTGGCCCCCACTATTTGGCCGCTTCTGGGGCCTTCTTGGAGCCCTCCTGGGTCCCTCCTTTGAGGCCTTGGGACCCTCCTAGGGCTCGCTAGGGGAAATCATGAAGCCGCCTCCGCGCGTGCGAGAGAAATCCCGTGTACACAGACATGAAGCACAACAACACCTTTGCGGCAGCTGACCCTCAGCAGCCTTACAGTGTTACGATGGAGAGCGACGATGGGCAACGAATGAAGGGCAACGAGCCGTAAGTCTCGGGGCCCTGGCCACGATCGGGGGGGGGCAACGGTGGGCAATGATAGGGGGGCAACTGTAGCATCAAGCCCAAGATTGCCGCAAGCTGATATGTGGCGACTGTGCCTTCTAAAACCTAGATGCGAAATGTGGAAATGTGTGAGTTTTAACTTGGCAAATGCGCCTTTTGTGCACCACTGAGTGCCCTCGCTCGTTCCCGAGATGTGGTAAGGAGGTGGCATACTAATCGCTCGCTTGCGACAACCCACTGTTCGCATTGCGTAACTTATCCCTGGCATGGTCAGCAACTGCCCCACATAACAAACTAACAGAGGCAACATAAAGTAAAAATAAGGCAATACATACTCTCGGAAGGTATTTTGTCTTATGAACGTCTGGGATGAGCAACGCATCATCGAGATCCTCATCGCCACTGTCGGCTGAGTCAACATCATCACCATCGTCATCATTTCCCCACCCACACCATCGAAGCCACAATCATCGTATCACCATAATCCAGGGGCCCGTTGATCTGTAAGCAGTGTGGTACTGTCTGCTTGGATAAAGTGGGATCGTCACTAGCATCGTGTATCACCATCGTCGTCATCGTCATTGATCGGGGTCGTGGAAGAGGTGGGTGAGGATCAGGTGTGTCTGGATATCATGGCTGGAGCAATGTTGTTTCTCAGACTTTGTGGCCCCCTCGTCTTTCAAGACGTCCCGTGGGCCTCCTCGTCCGTTCACGTGCATTGGGTCACGATGCATGCGCCAGCCCCCCTTCTCCTGGCCCCCCTCTTCCGAGCACCCCACTCGTGATCGTCACCGCGACCTTCGTGACATCCGTCTGCAGCCGCGATGGCTCCAGGACCCGGGCGCCAGTGGGCTTCCGCGGCGCCCCCTCGGCTGCGGGCGGACGCCGATGTCGGCGACTCCGCCAGTGTCGGGGGGCCGGAAGTCGGGCTTGAAGACCCAGAAGTCGGCCATGAGTTTCTACGACTTCATGTCTGCGAGGGGGGGCCTGGGTTGGGCGGCGTTCATCGCCATCCAGTACGCCCTTCAGCCGACGCTCTTCAGGATGTTCGTCGAGAAGGGCACGCCTCCGAGCTCGCTGGTCGTTGGGTCAGAGGTGTTTAAGATGTTGATGATCATCCTGCTTCTCTCCATGAACGGTACAGGAAGGCAGGCCTGGAGGGAGTGGTCGCTGATTGACTCGCTGCGGACCGCAGGTTTGCCATCGGCGACATTCGTGATCCAGAACTATTGCATTGCGGTAGCATATCAAAGCCTCGACGGCGTTATGTTCAACGTGCTCAATCAGGCCAAGATTCCCTTCACAGCTTTGTTCGCTTTCTTGATAGTCGGAAAGCCGCAATCGAAAATGCAATGCGTGGCTCTTCTGATGGTCACGGTTGCAGGCGTGCTCATCAGTTTGCCCAGCGACAGTTCGGGAGGTGATCGCGCAGACACCAATACACCAACAGGTATTTTGTACGTGTTGCTGGGGTCTGCGCTGTCAGGCTTTGGAAACGCTGCAACCGAGTGGGCATTGCAAAAAAAGTCTCGGTCTTCTTTAGTGTTAACGTTGGAGATGAGCGTGCTCGGATGCATCGTGGTATTTTGTGGACTTCTGCTGGGCAGCACAGAAGAATCCCAGATCTGGCGGTCGGAAGGCCTTTTTGCAAGATGGCGGCTAATGACCCTGATCCCGATTATGACGCAAGGTTTTGGCGGCATGGCGGTCGGCTTCATGCTGAAAGTCGCCGGGGGTGTCAAAAAGGGATTCGCCATTATATGCGGCTTGATGCTGACCTGCTTTGTGCAATTCTTCACCCACGGTAGCCTGAAAATGTCAGTGCTGACCTCAGTGCCGTTGGTTGCCGGTGGTATTTTCCTTCACGTCAGTTATCCTGTGCCAAAAACAGAGTCCAAAGCGAAGCTCACATGAGTTCCCACCGACTACAGACTGACGAATTTGGCATGCTTCCCGGGACATATGGTGTCGGGCTCAGCTGACAACTAGATGCGTAGACAGACCAGCGGACGCGGTGCCAGTCTGGCCTTGCTGTCACCATCATCGTCACCAACGCCGTCACCGCTTTGTCATCGATGCAATTGTCGGCCTCATCGTGATCCACGTCACCGTCATCGTCGTCTTCATCGATGTTTTGGCCGTCATCGTCGTCGTGCAGCGTCAGAGCGGAGCCTCCGTGCTGCAGCGCTGCGGCGGCCCATCCCGTCCTCGTCTGGGCGCGTGGCTGCGCGGGCCGCCGGGAGGGCCAGCGAGGACCCAGACCTTTTGGCCATCGGGTCTCGTTGGCATCGCCTCCACCCCGCCTCTGGGCCTTCGCAGGCGATCGCTCGCTCCCACTCCCCGAGTTTCCCCCCCATCCCAAAGCGGGCTCTCTGGAGCAGAGGCTTGGTATCGCTCGGACGTGTGCAGTTTCTCTCGGCGGGGATTATTAAGGAGCATCCTGGATCATCCTGCGAAAAAAAAAAGAAACACGCACGAAACCGAACAAAAACACAGGGAATGAACGTCCGAGCGATGGCCAGGAGGGGGGGGGGAGCTTTGGGGATACAGCCCCCAGGGGGATGTTCGCACGCACCCCAGAGCAGGAACGGACGCCCTCCCAATGATCGTGCATTCCCGAAATGGCAGCCACATGTCTTACATCAAGTCGGGCCTGTCCCTCTACAGGAGAAATATGCAAAAATAGTCAAACAATAGCCTGGGGACATTTTTGGGGGATTTTTGAACATGTTTCTATCATTTTCTTTTTATTTTGTTGGTCGTCCAAAGTCTCCCTGTAGGGGGGCACGCCCGACCTGAGTCTTACACGAGTTGCGGTCAGTCGAAAGGCCCGCAAAGTCGGGGATTGGGATTGCCGGCATGCACCCCACTGTTCAAGGGGGAGGCTCAGCGGGAGGGCATCGACCCCTGATGGCCCATGGATCGGCGATGTTGGCCACGTGGCCCCCACGCCCGGGAACGTGTGGGTTCGCTGCAGTGGGCCTATCGCCGATCCATCGTCCTGCCGGCTATGTATCGGCGATTCCGGGTCGATGTCTCCCCGCCTGGGCCAGTTCCCCCTTCTCGTTACCCTCCGATCGAACTCTTCCCCCGAGGCCAGTTTTGTTTTGTTCGATTGCCTTCGAGCTTCGAGATGCAGCAGTGGCACCAGGATGTTGAGTTTGGCGAGAAGCTTCTGGCGCGGCGCCTGCTCAGGTCGCGGGAGGTCTGGGCAGGAGGTCGGACGGGGGGGTCACCCGCACCGGCCCGAAAGGTGATCGCGCTGGTTGTTCCAGCGCTCCCACATGCGGTTCGAGCAGATGGGGTCGAAGGATCTCGCTGCATCTCGGATGCATCGCCTCTGCGGCTCGATGTGGAGCCCGATTATCTCCACGCCGACGTTGCCGACGTATGACCGATGCATCGGCGATTCGGCACGATCCTCCGACCCTCTTTACTCAGGCCCAATTTCGGAGGTCTCCAAGGGGGGGGGGGTCACCCGACCCGGCGGGAAGGTGATTTCGCTACGCTGTCTGGTCTGGAGGGTGTCCTTCACCAGGGGGACGACAGACAAGCGCGCTTCGTTGCGCGGAGCGCGGATCCCCGTAGATGGACCCAGGAGATCGACGAGGAAGAGAGGGAAGAGCAGGAGGTGGAGGTGTTCGAGGAGGTGGGGCAGCGTTCGGGAGGATACGCTGAGCGGGTACGCGTCGCCCCCCAAGCGTACGTTCATCGCCCCGGCAGGGGCCTGATAGCCCGCCAGGCCCAGGAACGTGCGGAGTCGCTTTCGTGTGCCCATGGCCGACCAATAGGCGATGTGCTGCCGATTCCAGGTCAACATATTCCTTGCCCCCTGAGTTGCCCCCCCCTCCCCTCTAAAGTTGCCCCTCAGAGGTGCAGGTGGTGGAGGCTCAGGAGGAGGAGGAGGAGGAGGAGGAGGAGGAGGAGGAGGAGGCGCCAGCTTGTTCGTCTGCCCGTGGGGCCCATCCTCTCTAGGCATGCGCGCTCCTGGCTCGAAGCGCTTGTCGAGAGGGCCTCTCGGAGGGACAAGGCAGGCGGAGGCAGGGGCGGGGAGGAGCTGGGCTTGGCGTCGCCCGGACGTGCGCAGCGAGGCGGAGCCAATGGGATCCGCCCCCCCTCCCCGCTGGATGGGTACGCCCGGGAGCCTCGCGAGTGGGATCGCCCCCTCCCCCCCCCTTGTGGTCGTGGCCCTGTGGGCGTGGCGTGGTGGTGGGTGCCGGTACCCCTCCTCCCCCTGTGGGTGTGGGGTGGTTCGTCTTCGTCGGAGTCGGTATCGGCGTCGGCGTCTGCGTCGTCGTCGTCGTCGTTGCCCCCCCCTCCCATCCCATCTGGTGGGGGCCTGTGGAACTCTGAGGCCTATCCCATCTTGGGGGGACTGTGAACTCTCGACCCAGGATCACACGTACATGTACACACATATATGTATAGTGAGAGAGGGTGAGCAAGAGAGATAATGAGAGAGCGATAGAGAGATATATAGAGAGAGAGAGAGAGACAGACAGCGATGAGAGACAGAGATAGACAGAGAGTGAGAGAGAGAGAGATAACAAAAAAAGATAGAGAAAAAGAGAGAGAGAGAGAGAGAACGAGCGAGAGAGGGCGAGAGAGAGAGAGACGTAGAGCGAGAGAGAGAGAGAAAGCGAGATCGAGAGAGATACCTGTATATATATATATATATATATATATATATAGATAGATATCTATATATATAGAGAGAGGGAGGTGAGAAGACGAGATGGCTGAGGTTGAGGAAGGAATGGGGAAATGGGAGGAGGAGGCGGATGATGAGAAAGAGGAAGCTCGCCAGCCTGGCCACATGTCGATAGTCTGAGATTGAGCAAGGAGGGGTACGAGGATGTGAGGATGAGGGACATGGGGGAGGTGAAGGAGGAGGCCAAGGCCAAACGAAGGAGAAGGAGGAGGAGGAGGAGGAGGTTGATGAGGGAGGGTGAAGACGAAGGGATGATGAGGAAGATGGGTGCGGAAAAGGAGGAGGATGGTGGACGAGTGGGTGGAGCAGCTGGAGAGGAGAAGTGGGAGTGAGGAGGAGGAGGACGACGAGGATCGTGAGCAGGAGAAGGAACAGGAAGAGGAGGAGGAGGAGGAGGAGGCTGAGGACAAGGGGTGCGGAGGAAGCTGGAGGAGGGAGGGGCAGGATGCAGGGAAGAGAGGAGATGAGGAGGAGGAGGCGGATCCGGGCAAATCTGTCCAAACTGAGATGAAGCAGAGTCAAGCTCACATACCTCCAGGGAAATCTGGAGCAAGTCGTGCACGCTCCAGCGCGAGGGCGGGGGATCGCAGAAGTCGTCAAGTCCTTGACGATCGAGGGTGCTGGAGGAAGCGGGCCTCGGGGCCTGTCCCCAGTTTCCGGGGTCGCGGGGCCCTCCCAGAGCCCCAGGGCCGCCCAACAGGAGGAGGAGGAGGAGGAGAAGGAGGGATGAGCAGTCTGTCTGGTGGGAAGCTACACGGGCCAGGGCCCGTGTTCTCCGGGAGCCCGCGCCCCCCTGTGCCACATCTGCCGCAGAAGAGGCGGGCCAGCCCCCCAAGCCGTTCGACCCACTTCGGGCTTGTCTTCTCCCATGCTCACGCGCATTGCCACTGCCTCTCGCGGCTGCTTTTGAGCACCCGCGGGCCCGTGCTCACGGTGCCCGCTGCAGAAGGGAGGGGGAGCGGGCGGCAACCCGTCCGCTGTGCCGCCCTGCCAGGCGCCCCCCGCCAGCGAGCCTGCGCCTCAGGAGCCTCCACCCGCGGGCGAGGCGCGATGGATCAGCGGTGGCGGCTCAGGGCAATTACGAGCTTGTTCTTGTTCTCATCTGGCGCGCAGCGTCTTCGCCTGCCCGCTGCCCCGCCCGGGGTAATGGTCGGGGTCGGCAAAGAGGGGGGTGATGACTAGTGGGGGGTGGATATCATGGCGTGGGCCATGATATTTCCTAAGATTTCATGTCGCCTCTTCTTATTTCATTACGTACCCACCCACCCCCCCTTGGGCCGCGCACGTGCCGCCGGTCATGATTTGCATCCCCCCCCTCTTGGACGCCCCCCTCTTGGCCGCCCCCGAGTTGGTAACGACCGTAAGTGGGGGGGGGGCTGGACTCCCCTCCCCTGCGCACGCTGGTGCTCGTGCGCGTACGATTGCGATCGCAGCGCAACCCCGCCCTGACGTGCCCCCTCCCCCCCTCCCTCGGGCGACTGCTGCTGCCAGACAGCACTAAGCATGACAATCACCATGCACAGGTAGGGTTGCAGTCGAAGGAGATATCACCCCAGCAGAGCATCCTGACAGCAGCAGAGGTGAAGAGGCGGGTCGAGGAGTCGGAGGTCAGCTGTAGGGGGCAGAGGGTGAGAGCACGGCCCTGTGCACCTTAGTGCATGTTTTGTCAGGGATCGTGGCCGTCTGGACACGGCCATGTGCACCTCAGTGTATGTTTCGCAAGGGATCGTGGCCGCGTGGGCACGGCCATGTGCAACTTAGTGCTTCTGATCAAGGAACGTGGCCGTCCAGACACGGTCATGTGCACCGCAGTGCATCTTTGATGTGGGGTCGTGGCCGTCTGGAAAAGGAAAACGTCTCCGGCCCCCCTGTGGGACTCCTCCGTGGTCCTTGTTGGCCTGTGATAGGACCCTGCAGCGACACGCTATTCGAGTACGAATGCAGACACACTGTTCATTTTTTATTATTCGGATGTTCTTTGATTTTTTGGGGGCCAAGATCCTTTCATTTCTATATGTTCTGTGCTGGGCCTCTTCCTGGCCACTAGGGGGCCAGGAGCAAGTAGAAACGAGCACACTTAGAAACGAGCACGACTAGGAATGAACGACGTGTACACCCAAGCTTCCAGAGCTCCTCGTGGATGTCTTGGATCTGCGATGGAAGCCCCCTTGCGGCGCCTTCCTCGCCGCCCCTGGCGCGCTCGGCGCGCCAGGAAGAGGGTCTCAGGTGGCGTCGTCTTCGTCGGCGTCGTCGTCGTCGACGTCGTCCTCGTCGTCGTCGCCGTCGTCGTCGTCGTCGTCCTCGTCGTCGTCGTCCTCGTCGTCGTCGTCGCCGTCGTCGTCGTCCTCGCATGTTTACGCAGTTGCTTTTTCCTCCCATGATGGCCGATCAGGGTATTCATGCACACGTACGGTGGATATGGTCATGTGCTGTTGAGGCGGCCGGCCGTTCTCCGCGAGCCTCCCTTTTCTTTTTCACGGGCGCTCGGGGACGCGCACAGGTCGCGTAGGCGCACGCGAGAGAGTGTCTGTCGCCCCGGGGAGGGATCTGACTCGTGCGCTGCGGAGTGCCGACTCACGTGCTGCAGAACGTCAGATCAGATCATCGAAGGAGCAGGCACGCTTGTTGGCCAGAGAGGGGCAGGGCGGAGCCAAGGAAGGATAGTGCCAATTGGGGCATTGCCCGATTTCGTCCGTGATGTTGTCGCCTGCTGGCCCGATTCTCATGGTTCACGCGGTGGGCTCTTCCTGGCGGCCCTGCGCTCCAGGGCCGTCCCAGGTCACAGGCCATCGTGCTGTTGTGGTGGTTCGCTCTGGCCAAGGCATGTGCGATATTGCTTTGCTGTTCGAGCAGAGCAAAAGCAGAAGGGGACGAGTTGTATTCCCCAACTGGGGGGGGGAACTCTGGGATACACCCCCCCAGGGGGCTATTCGGACGCACCCAAATCAAGGATGGACGCCGGCCCCCCCATCGTATATCCCAGGGTTCGGCCCAACATTTCGGGTCCAGTCGAAAACATCCCGAAGTCGGGGGTTGGGGTCGCCAGACACCCCCCCTGAGAAGGAGGAGGAGGATGAAGAGGACGAAGAGGATGGACGAAGAGGATGAAGAGGATGAAGAGGATGAAGATGATGAAGAGGATGAAGAGGATGAAGAGGAGGAGGAGGAGGAGGAGGAGGAGGAGGACGAGGAGGAGGAGGAGATGGGGGAGGAGGAGCTTGAGGAGGAGCAGGAGGAGGAGGAGGAGGAGGAGGAGGAGGAGGAGGAGGAGGAGGAGGAGGAGGAGGAGGAGGAGGAGGAGGAGGAGAGGAGGAGGAGGGAGGAGGCGGAGGAGGAGGAGGAGGAGGAGGAGGAGGAGGAGGAGGAGGAGGAGGAGGGAGGAAGGAGGAGGAGGGAGGGAGGAGGGGGAGGAGGTGGAGGAGAGGATGAGGGGAGGAAGGAGGAGGAGGAGTAGGAGGGAGGAGGAGGAGGAGGAGGAGGAGGAGGACGCGGGGACGCGATGCGCGACGATGTCGCTCCAGCGCCCGCGACCGCGGGCGGCGGGCCCCCACGCGGCCCGCGGGCCCAGGGGCGCCAGGCCCCGGTGTCGAACTCCAGGGGGCCGATGAGGTCCAACGAGTCCTCATCTAGCACCTTGAGACCGATGACGAGGTCGGCGGCCCAGTGCTGACGGCCGCGCTACTGACAGCGGTTGGGGAACACGTCGGCTCACTGGGCACGCCCTCTTGGGGAGGGCAGAATCAAGGTCGGCACAGGCCGACCACCCAGTGAGTCCGTCACCCAACTTGTCGCAGCGGGCCTCGTACTCGGCCGAGAACTCCCAGCCCTTGTAGTCGTCGGACTCGCCCCGCACCATGGTATAGATGAGGAGGCGGAGGAGGAGAAGGAGGAGGGAGAGGAGGAAGAGGAGGAGGAGGAGGAGGAGGAAGAGGATGAAGAGGAGGAGGAGGAGGAGGAGGAGGAGGAAGAGGAGGAGGAGCGGGCGAAGGAGCAGAAGGCCGCGGACCACGCGGAGCTGCCGATCGCGGAGGCCATCGCCCGCCTGAGGCCCCTCCGCGCCGGATCTTTTTGCTGCAGGGTCGTGGTGCCGCGGACTCGTTCGCAGGCCACCGCATCGAGAGCCCAACACACACAAGCACACACACACACGCACACAGACACGAGCACATACACACACCGACACACACACACACACACACGCACACACACACACACACACGCGCACACACACACGCGCGCACACACAAGCACACACACACACACGCACGCACATACACAAGCACACACCGACACACACGCACACACAAATACACACACACACACGCGCACGCGCACACACACACACACGCGCACACACAAGCACACACACGCTCACACACACACACACGCACACACACACGCACACACACACACACACCGACACACACACGCGCACACACACACACACACACCGACACACACACACACACCGGCACACACACACACTGACACACACACACACACACACACACGCGCACACGCACACACACGCACACACCTGCACACACGCACACACAGACACACACAGACACACACACCGACACACACACACACGCACACACACACACACACCGACATACACACACTGAGAGGGGGGGTTATCCATATCCGCCGCCTGGGATCCAACGCCCCTGAACACCAGCGGGCGGTGGATGTGGACACGTGTGGCCCCCTTAGGGCCCGAGTATGTCTATATATCCACCGCCCGCCGACGTCCCCGAAGGTGGACCCCCCCAGGGGTGGTTATGGATGAATCCAGGCCTCGGACAAACACACAAACACACAGACATACTTTTTTGGCAGCAGCGGCCTCGCGCGCAGCGACGAGACGGAGCAAGTAGCAGCACAACGCACGCGGCGGCCACACACACACACAGACACATAGACACACACAGACACATAGACACACACACACACACAATTAACACACACGCACCAGACACACACACACACACGCACACACACACACACACGCACACACACAATTACACTCCACACACACATACACACGATTACACACCACACATACACACGTACACACACTGGGAAGCTCCAGAGAGGGCTTCGCTCTCGAGGCACCGAGGGGCTGACGCCTCCTCGTTGGAAGGCTGGCCGAGGCAAGGCAGGGCCGGCTCCGCTGGCGGAGGGCCGGCGGAAGCCCGCGGAGATGAAGATTCGATCAGACGTCAGAGTGACTTTTCGCCGGAGTGACCTTTCTTTGGTGCGGGCACAGATCGGTCCCCAGATGGCTGAAAACGAAGCAGGAGCAGCGGCTTGCGCGCCCAGGTTTGGCCCCCCCCCCCAGCCCCCCAAAAAGTTGCGCACCAAAGGTCACTCTCACCCAGGGTCACTCTTGCGTATAGCCGAAAGACATGTTCCGATAAGAGATGCCAGCGCTCGAAGAAGAGAACACCGATAAGCATAAAGGATCGACGGTTCGCGCGCAGACTGTTTGGATCTGCGGTGGAGCCCGGTGGCGGCGCCTCCGGCGCTGTCCTCGGCGCGCTCCGCGCGCCAGGGAGGGCCCAGCGCAGGTCCGAGTAATCCGCGCGGGTCGTCGAAAGGTCATGTTTGGGCCGCTTCTTGTTCTTCCGAACATGTTGTTTGTATCCATCGGGCGAAGAGAACTATGTACATGCATTGATCCTGACAACGTCCATCCTTGACCCAGGATCGGTGCATATACCTTCCTGGCCAAGGTAAGAGGGCGTATGCACCGAACCTGGGCTCAGGATGGGCCTGGCCAGAATCGGTGTATGTGCATAGTTATCTTTCCTCTAATCGATGCTTCTGCAGAGCGGGACCATGTGACAGTGGGCACGGCAGCAGGGCCCTCAGCAGACGACCCACGCCGCAATTTCGCCCGCGCGATGCGGTCGGTTCAAGTCGCAGAAAACGGCATGTGCATAGATTTTCGGAGGTCCGCGCAGATCTTTTGGACCGGCGCTGGGCCTCCCCCCATGGCGCGCGGAGCGCGACAGTGTCGGCGCCAGAGGATCTCCAGCGGTCTCCAGCGCCGATCCAGGACATCCGCGCGTGGGTAGGCTTATGTTTATGCAGTCCTTGTCTATCGACGGCCCCTGAGGACCTCTGAGAGCGAAGGTCGTTCAGGGTTGAACTCAGAGGGTCCCAAACTTCCCTGCGATTTGGGGAGGTTCGTCTAGATGGCGTTGGATTTCGCCGGTATCTGGACGACATGTGGACGAACTCTGGCCGAAACCTGGACGAACTCTGGACGACATTTGGTCGAAATCACGTGGAGATCCACAGAGGCTCCCATGAATCGGCCGCGCAGAAGGGGGTAGGAGAAACGGGGAAGGCTTCGTAGAAACGCCCCTGCTTCTTAGAAGGCGCGGTCCTTCTCTATAGATGTAGGGCTGTCGCCTTCTAAGAAGCGGCCTCCTTCTAAGAAGTACCCCCCCTCCCCTATCCATTCGCGCGCGCCGCCAAGCTCCCGAAGGAGGGTTTTTGTTCAGCATCCAGGGGGGGGGGCCGCACGGCTGACCTCCTCCTGGGCCTGCCGCCAAAAAGTAATGAGGCACGCCAGAGGCAGGGCCGACCCTGCCTCTGTGTGGTCGTCAAGGCGAGGCGGCCTGAACCCTTCGGGGTCAGTCCAAGGGCCCCGATAGACCCCAGAAAATTTGGCGTGCTTTCCTCGACAAGCTGCAGACCAGGCGCTCTTGGAGGATGAGGAGGAGGAGGAGAAGGAGGAGGAGGAGCAGGAGGAGGAGAGGGAGGAGGGGGAGGAGGAGGAGGAGGGAGGAGGAGGAGGAGGAGGAGGGAGAGGGCAGGAGGAGAAAGGGAAGGTGGGTGAGGAGGAGGAGGAGGAGGAGGAGGAGGAGCAGGAGCAGGAGCAGGAGCGGGAGCAGGAGCAGGAGCAGGAGCAGGAGGAGAGGCAGGAGGAGGAGGAGGAGGAGGAGGAGGAGGAGGAGGGGCAGGGGCAGGAGCAGGAGCAGCAGGGGCAGGAGCAGGAGCAGCAGGAGCAGGGGCAGGGGCAGGAGCAGGAGCAGGAGCAGGAGGACGGGGAGGCTGTCGCGGCTCCCATGAAGGCCCACACTCCACGGAGGTCTCGCGGTGTCGGAGACCAGGGGGCCCACGCCCATGGCAGGAGCTTGCCGTCCACCGTCGGCTGTCGGCGCGTCCTTCCCAAGGTTTGCCCTTCCGGCCCAGAGAAACGAGGAGGAGGATGAGGAGGAGGAGGAGGAGGAAGACGCGGAAGAGGTGCAGGAGGAGGAGGAGCTGCAGGGAGGACCCTCCCCCTCCCCCTGGAGGAGCAGGAGGACGAGGAAGAGCAGGAGCAGAGTAGGAGCAGGAGCAGGAGGCGGGGAGGAACGAGGACTGGATTGGGCACTGGTCGTGTGCATTGTGTTTGGGCTCGTGCTGTTCGCGCACGCGTTGTCCCGAGCCCGCGCGCCTCGGTGAGGAATTGTCGCGTCGACGCCCTCGAAGTGCGGAGCGCTAGCGGATCGCTGTCAGGGTGAACAATAGTCGGGGGGTCCCAAGCTCAGAGGAGAAATCATACCGCTACTCGTCACGGAGATCCCTCGTCAGAGCCTCGTCGCCACGGTTGGGTTCTCCTCAAAGGTCTAGTCAGAACGCACCCCAGGAGAGGTCTAGGGGGCAGCGGCATGGGTGCCTCGGGGTGAACGGTAGTCGGGGGGGCCCCAAGTGGTGCTGTGGCCGCACCGTGTCATGAGTCAGAAGGGATTCGGATGTCTTGCACATGTTCGATGGTTCCGGGGGGGGGTCCAGCCTTGGAATGTTTTCGAGCCGCTGCGCCTCGCCGAGAGCCTTCCCGAACGGCCGCTGGAGAGCCGAGTTATGACCCGAGAACCATCGATTTTGGGTTATCAGACTCGGGGGCCCCCAAACAGCGTGGTGACCGCATAGTATGGTGAAAAAGCGTGGATTCGGGGTGACCGCACGGTTTTGGCAGCTGTGCCGTCCTCCGAGGACATCTCGGGCGAAAGGGGCTTCCAGGGTCCCAAAACTGTGCGGCGACGGATCGTGCGGCGGGTTTCTGGGGAGATTCCGAGGTCACCGCATGTCTGTCATGGCACCGTGTCGGGACTCCCAAGGTAAGGAAGAAAGTTCGTGGCGTTGTCGTACCTGCATGTGCCTTAAGTCTTTTTGGGCTGAAGCGGCTGTCTACTCTGGAGTGCCAAGTCTTACACACTATTGGAGCATATACCCTCGGCATCCCATTCGAAGGCGGGTTGGGAAAAGAGCCCCGCATGTGTGCGAGGACTGGGCCCGACGAGAGCAAGAAGCAGCAGGACCTTGCATCTCGCGTGCATGGTGTCTCTGAGCAATTGATAGGGATTCATTTCCGTTGTATTCAAAAGGCACATGCGAAGATCATCCCTCCTATCCATAACGCTTTGCGTTCACCACCCGCCCTTCCTAGTTCTTGCCGAACGAGCCGAGTATGGACACATCAGCGGCTGAGTCCATGTTGCACGAAGTCCAAGGCTGCACCGCACGGCTTCAAGACGATTCAATTTGGCCCAGGGACGACCCCAGAGACCCCCCAAGAAGGGCCAGAGGCGGCGGCCCAGGAGGGCTTGTAGGCATTTGAAGACGGCTCAAGCGCGAGGGGAACCCCGTGATGGGCCGGAGCCCTGACTGATTCGCATTCGATCCAGACCCGCGCCAGGGCCAGTATGATCACCCTTTGGGAGCTCAGTTTGGATCCAGAATCGTACCAAAATGAATCCCGAAACGCATCCACAACGGCGTGTCATTTTCAGGTTAAAAGTGCAGAAGATGGCCGTGGGGGCCCCCTGGGAGACCCCTGGCCGAAGAGGCGCCCTCTGGAGCCCGTGGAGGCCAAGGAGGGGCTCAAGAGGGGCCCAAATGGATCGAGAATCCGTTGCGACAGGATGTTGGGATCTTCTGGTTGAGTACGAGTTCGTTTTGGAAGCCGTCTTGGGGTCTAGCAAAGAGGCGGCGGAGTGGCGGAGGCTCCTGGGAAGAAGCCAGGAGGGAATACGGGTTTAAAGCCCTGGAAGGCGTTCTCGAAGTCAATTCCCGAATACCCCTCAACTTGATAGGCGGCGGGACTGAAGAGGCTTAAGTACGCTAGTCCGCAGACCCCTGCCTTGAAAGAAAGACAGGGCGAGTGCAACTTGGACTATACGGTTTGGCCGAGTACGGTGGAGCGCAGCAGAACGACGAAGAGCGTGAGGATGCCAAGTGTGGGCAGTGAGGCAAGGGGGAGGGGGTGAGTGGACTGGATGTTGGGGAGTCCTTGTGATCATGTTCTCAGTGCTGAGCCCTTTGTTGGGACTTCTGTGAGACATTTTGTTGGTTGTGGTATGCTGGGTCTTGCTTGCGGGGTAGACGACGAAGGGGAAACGTGGAGGCGAAGGAATAATATAGGGAGGTGAGGATGGAGAGGGGGAGGAAGAGGATGAGGAGTGAGGGAGGGAGGAGGAGTAGGAGGACCGCCATAGTTGGAGTAATGGAGGTGAGGGTCGGTGCGAGCATGGGACTCGAGCGGCCAACCTGGTGTTCTATGCTGGTATTGCCGACGGCAGGAGGGAGGGAGCAATGCGTGAGCCTACAAAGCGTGATTCACGGCGGGCCCCCGGGGAGGAATTAGCAAGCTAATCTTTCAATGACTGCGCGTTGGGGGTTTGGTGTGAGCTTGCTGGACCCGTCTTGTAGCCCTCGCGGGGCCTTGCATGGAATTTTTATAGCCTTCCAGGTTTCCTTGGATCTCTCAGGAGGCCTCTTGGGGCCATCTTGGCATCCCCTCTGGGGTCTTCGGGTCGTTGTGGATACGTCTTGGGGGCCGTGTGGGCGGGCCGTGGGGGCATCTTGGGCTGTTTTGGGGCAGTCTGGAGGGACTCGAAGAAGGAAAATTACGTCACATAAACTTTCGGAGTTCCGCGCGGATTTCTTGAATCGGCGCTGGCCCCCCCTAGCGGCGCCTCGGAAGCCTCCCCCAGAGCGCTCCGCGCGCCAGGGAGGAGGGTGCAGCCCCGATAAAAGGGATCCGCGCGGACCTCCGAAAGGCTATCTTTACGCCGCCTGTTGTCCCTCTATGGGGACCCAGCCGGGTACGTCTGCACGCGATCATGCCAGGGACGGTCAGGATTGTTGCTTTGGCGTGTCGCTCCACCTGGTCTGGCCCTCTGCGCTTCGACGCGACATGCTAGTCTCGGGGGTGGACCGAACCTCAATCAGTGGCGAAGCGTCCCGGCTCGCCTATGGGCCCACCAAACAATGTACTAAGATCCTTTTGTGGGTTGCACGAAATGTTTTCAGAACATTTCTGGTTGAGACTGTGCTGTGTTAACGCATCGGGTTGAAGTTCTAAGAACATTGTTTTTGTTATTTGAAGATTTGTGGGTTCTAAGAACATTTCGTGATAGGACTATAGGAGTGCGAGTGCGGGCACGGTCGGTCCCTGCTCAAGAACCCCCACCCTGACACGTCGATTCGTGAATTCTCCGTTTCCGGTTCTCGAGTGTGCGCCGCGGCCGTCCTTTTCCAGGCTTGGGCCCGCCAGGTCTGGGGCCCGAGGTCGTTTTCACTACACCACGTTTCGCTAAAGGGGGTTCTGTCACGGGCCTAGAGGTTGACGCCAACACCAAGATCGGCGGTGTTCCTCCACCGAGGGAAGCAGATCCCCGATCTCGGTGATGGTGGTCATATTCTGGCTTCCAAGGTGACCGAAATGTTACCACCCACGCCGAAATCTGGGATCATCTTTCCCATGTGGAGGCAACCCCCTGTCTCAGATGCAACTCCTGGGAGGTAAATTCTGATTTCGCCCTGGTCCGAAATCCGGTTTAATCTGCCTTAATCCCGCTTAATCTTGTTAATCCCGTCTAATCCCGCTTAATCCGGCTTAATCCGAGGCCCACTCTGGCGAAACAGCCCCCCAATGTGGCTCAATCTCGTTTGATCCTTCCGACGAAAGCCTCCCAGTAGTTGCCTCCTAGCACTTGGAGGCAAGCCTCTGTGCTGGTGCTGGTGCCAATTTCCAGGCCTCCAGCTCTGTCCATCCCCGATGTGCACTGCACGGCCGCTGGGCGTCGACGGCCCGAGCCTCGTCGATGCTCCTGCCCCGCAGGGCGGAGCGACACGCGCCATGTTAGCCGCTCGCAGGGCCCTGGCCCGTCGCCAGGGCCGCCGTGGCGAAACGCGAAGCACGCATTCCCGACTGTGTTTTGATGTGTTTTATTTTTCTATGTTGTAGCACACACATACATATGTACATACATATATATATATATATATATATATTTAGCGCACCACGCGTATTGATTATTCTGAGTGTATAGGGAGGTGGAGGAGAAGCCAACTCGAAAGGACGAACTGCTTTGATCAGGCGCTCTCCGACGCCAAACTGCCAGGGCTGCATGGCCAAAGCGCGATTAGAGAAGCTGACATCCGCCCAGGATGAGGTATGCAAAAAAGATGGAGGGTCCTAGGGGGGGAACCCAACCAAACAGTGCACCAAGTGTAGTATTGTGTGTTGATGATTCTGAGTGTGTGGGTCCCCTCTTGGGACCTCACTCGGCCTTCCTCGTGTCTCTGAGGGCCTCTTGAGTTGTGCTTGAGGCCGCTTGGCCGACATCCTTGAAGCGGCGGAGGGTGGACTCAGATACTCTCAAAGTCCGGAAGGTGTGTTGAGGAGCTCGCTTCCGTTGGTGGGTGGGGGGGGGCGGTCTCCATATTTGTGCCCCCCGGTCTTGTTGGGAAGGCGGTGCCAGAGGCGTTGTCGGCTTGTGAACACCGTGCTCGGTCATGTTAAAAGAGCGCTTAGGCTTCTGGGTGTCTTGCGTACCACGATCGATTCCCGAGTCGCAGGGCATGCCCCCCTCGTTTTCGTATCTCTCTCCATGACATATTTGCCAACTCTCTGGTCCAACAGCCTCTACGTGTTGCTGCCTGGCTATCCCCAAGCAGCTCAATATGACAGCGCTGTGACGCGGTCGCTTCACATTCGTTCTCGCTTGCTATTGCTGGGCACTGTTGTAAGCATGTGTGCGCAAGTGTAAACTACACGACATTGGCGCTGGTCGAAATTTCGGCCGATGGAAATCAAAGAGGCGATGCCAGGTTCGGCAGTTTGGGGAAACGCGCCGAAGTTGGTCAGATATGGGGCCCCACAGGTGGCCCAGACCCTCTTATTCCCCGCTCCTGCCCCTGCGAACAGCGCCGACGTCGAGAAGACAGTCTTGGGCACATCTGTCTGGCCCTCGGTGTTGAATTGTACATGACACTGTGACTGCTGCAAGGACTGAGAGTTTCTTTCAGCATTGAGAAGGCACATGATGCCGCATGCCGCTGTTTGCGCGGGCGTGCCGTGCACAATTTATGGCGGGGGGGCACCGTGCCAACCATTGCTTCGGTCGTGTGGGGCTGAGCCAGCTTGAGACGCAAACGTTGCAGAAGGGATCCGGAGCGGACCAGCTTTGGAGCCAGTTGGGGGTCTGAGGTGGCCCAGCACTGGTTCCGGCCAGCAGGATGGGGGGGCAGGTTCCAGGTTCTGGGTTCGAGCTGGTTTCTACCCTTTTTCTATGTATGCGTACCGTCTCCGGGCTCCAGGACCGTCAAAAACCGATTTGGGGTGACAAATTGCAACAAGGGGGGGCCTGGGACGGGTCAAGGGACAGGTTCTGAGCGAATTTGATTTCATTCCCTCCCTTCTAAATGATTTTCTGGGGCCCCAATCAGTTCAGACCCCTGGGTCGCCGCCAGCTGGAGCGGACCAACTCGTGATTCGGTTGGGTGGGGAGTCTGGCAAGGCATGTGGAGCTCTGGCGTCCCTCCGCACTATGCTTGTATCCAGTCGCAGGCCTACAGCGAAGACGCCGAAATAATGACCGCTTAGGGCTCAGCAGGGGCTGTGGTCGGGGAACCTACTCGTGGCCGAGGCTCGCCGTGGCCAGGACAGCCCTTTCGCTTCCTCTTCAGCGCTCCTTCCCCTGAGCCCCGGAAAGGAAAGGTCCCCCACCTTCTGGAGCCTTGAGGCGGGGGTCAACGCAAACGGGGGTCAGCCAGAGTGTCCGATCTTGCAGGATCCTGCAGGGCCAGGGTCGCATTGACCCAGGTTTGGGTGCAGGATCCTGCAGGATCTTGCAGGGTCCTTCGCGTTGACCCGGGTTTGGGTGCAGGAGTTTGCAGGATCTTGCAGGATTCTGCAAGGCCTGACTCACCCGGGTCTGGACTGACCCGGGTTACCAGGTCCCCGGCACTTCTCCCAGTCCTCTCTCGGGGCGGGGAACAGCGCTCCAGGCGGCGAACAGTTCATATCATTCCCTTCGCCGTTGTCGTTCGCCGACCCGACCAGAGCGGACAATGTGATTACCAGCGGCTCGGGAATCTAATTTCGTTTCGGGAATCGGGGTTCTTAACCTGTGGAAGGCGCTCTGACGCTGTTCTCTATTCTGGTTGCATGGCTGGGTGAGCTTCCAGGGCCATCGCACGGGGCTGCGCAGGGCTCCCACCGTCCTTGCAAGGAAGCTCCACAAGGTTCCCTGAACCCCCTGCCTGGTCCAAGCTCCGGCCGCGGCCCTCGCCTCGGCTCGGCTTCGACCCCGGTGTCGGCCTCGGCTCCAGCTTCGTCCGGCTTTGGTTTCGGCACTGGCCCCACCATTCCTCGCCCGACGTCGCCGGCGATCTTGGGCCGCCAAAGCATTTTTTGAGTCGTGGACCCACGAGAAAGTGCGACGATATTTGAACTTTCATTTTGGCAGCACGAGGACTGTACGGCGCAAAGTATGGCGCAACGTTTGGTGCCGAACCGAGCCGTGCCTGGTGGCTTGCTGTGTGCCATGCCGTGTGCCGTGTTGTGTGTCTTACCTTGTGTTGTGCCGTGCCGTGCTTTAGCACATTTTGGCGAGGACCTCCAGGCGGGGTGAAGTGCTCACGGCTTGCGCACGACGTCGTGTTCAGTCCACGACGCCTCCCCGAGCTGGGATAGGGGATGTCTCGAACGTTGTGGGCGGAACACACCACAAGCATGATCCACCCTTCCTCCTCTCGCTGGTGGTGGTGCAGCTTTGGCTATGTCGACGACGTCGCTCGGAAACGTCGTGCGCACATGCCTTCAATCACGCGGTGCCTTTCCTGGCGGATTGCGATGACGTTGCTTGCCTGCGAAATCCTTCGTGCGGTACGGGCCCTCCTGTTTCGCATCCTCCTCACCTTCCTCCCACCCCCCGCATTTCTCTCCTACTCCGTCTCGGCCGTCTTATTCTCCCTCATGGTTATCCTCCTTCCCGCGGCGCAGCGCGGCGGGCGTTGCGCGTGCTGCCGCTTCCGTTCGCCTCTTCTTGCCGATCCGTCATCGTCCCCCCCTCCTCCAGGTCTTGGTGCGGTCCAGGCCGGCGGGTCTTACGATGCAGCGCGCCAGTCAGCTGGCATCAGGGTTGGGCCTACACGTTGTTTTCCTGGACTTCGGCTCTGTTGTGCGTTTCGTTTTGGGAGGGAGGTGCAGGAAAACAAGTATAGAGCAAACTGAACAACACAATGATCACAAAACGACAAAAACAACGTGCAGGTCCAGCCCTGGCTGGCATGTAATGGGGTCCAGTTCAGCCAGAGCGCCCTCTCCTTCAGGATCGTGCAAACCTTGAGTTTGGTTTTGCCAGGTTTGAGGGAGCCGCTCGCGGCCCTGGAGGTGGCCCTAACATATATTGGCCGATCCGTGTCTGGGAAGCCCCCCATGAGATTGTTCGATACGTACGGGAGTGACATATAAAGGTATACTCTTACACGTAAAAGTGTACATGCAGCGTCTATCTATCTATCTATCTATATCTATATATATATATATACATATGTGTTTGTGTCCAACTCGGTTGAGCCGGATTTGCGCTGAGCTCGGTTTGTCCACGCCCGAGCCATTTTTGGCGTGTGGATACTGTCTGCAAGCAGGGGCTTCGCCAGGTCACACGGATAAGCTGCGATGTTGTAGGATCAGCAAGATGTGCGTTCGCATCTTCACAACGAGCGAGGAGGGGGGATAGCAGGAGGAGGCGTTGTCCTTCTTCTCCGCATCCCCTTTCTCCTCCAATTCCTGGTGTCGGCACTGGTGTATCTACAATGCATGCAGGTAAGTACCACTGTGCGGTGTGTTGTCTTTGGTACCCGTCTCTGGTTTTCATCGCCCCCTCCCACGGGGATCAAGACGGTGGACAGCGGAGCAGCTTTACATTTTGTCCTTGAAAGATATTCGGGTCCATGTCGGATTTCTTGTAGAACGGTATCTTGCCCATGCGTCGGACCGTATATGCAGAGCAGATGTTTTCAGAATCTTTGGGGTCTTGTGAGACGGTTGTTGCCAGCTGCCTGCCCGCAGGAGAAGCAGAAGCAACCGCCGAGGGCGGCCGACATCGAGGCGAGTCAGACTCTCCAAAAGGGGATTGACAAGACACATAGCACGTGGGACTGTTGAATTAATCCTGCTTGTCCTCGGCCACCTCAGTGGAAAAAGAGGGGGGGTTCAACAAACGAGCGCGGACGACAGGCAGCCAGCCACGAGCGTTTTGCGGGGGAGGCTCGCTTGCCTGTGGGTGAGCGGCCCGACGCCTTCTGCAGGATGGTCGCACAGCGCCGTCCGGTTTGTTTCTGAAGCCGTAGTGCAGGCGGGTAGTTTCCCCCCCCCCCCCCTGCGATGCGTCGGGCACTTTTCAGTGCCTCGGACTGCCCTTATCTATCTTTGAATTCGCTCTGGCAGCTGACAGTGTATATTATTCACCACACTGTGCACATTTGTCGAAGTCTCTGGTGAATGCTCGCGGTGTTGATTCGTTTGGCTCGAGCACCAGGCTGCTCTGGGACACCCGCAAGTTTCAAACCCGTCGCAATTTCTTTCGAAGTGCGTTTAGGAATAAGTTCAATACTTGTACATGGCAGGGTCGCACTTGGTGTGCCACCTGTTTCCCCCAGACTAGTGTTCTTCCCTCGGGCGAGTGCGCTTGATTGGAAGACGGCTGCACGTCGAATTGTAGATGCCAGCCACTTTGTTGCGGACCAGGTGGATTTTGCTAGGTCGCGTGTGCACACGCGTGCCGTCGCGGCGACGGGTCAGACGCGTAAAGTGCTCCCCGCCAAGTTTTGCGACCAAATTGCACGCCAGGTTGTAGTTCTGGTCAGGGTTTCAATACACTAGTGAGGCGTTTATGGTTCTACGGGATACTCTGAGCAGGCACACGGGGCCCCGTTGTTCCAGTGGAAGCTTCATTATACATGTTGTGCATGTGTGTGTGTGTTGAGTGCGCTCGTGCCTAACCCGTGGTTGATTCAATGATGCGGGGGATGAATGGTTTCTGGGTGTTACACGTTGCTGTTGTTTTGTCGTTGTCGCCGTTGCCGTCCTCGTCCTGTGTGTCGTTGATCGTGTTATTGCACCGCGTTTCCACTACACAGTCGTTGTTCGATTGCAACTGTCGATTGCAATGCACCTTGTATTGATCGTTGCTCGATTACAAGTATCGGGCCGTTTCCTCTCTGGTGAATGTGGTGTCGTTTGGTCTGAGGGTTGTTCTTTTGTCTCGCTACCGCCCGCCAACCAATACCTTCCTATCACCTTGCTTCTGTTTTGGATTTCCTTGTATTTAACCCAGCGATAGTGCTCAGGGTTCAGATGGTCAGAGCAGCCGTGAGGGGATTAGCGCCCTAGACGCATTGAGAGCCGCGCCAGCCTCAAGCGGAGGTGCGGCACTACGTTCACCAAGTGCTCAGTGACGAGCTGGATGAGAAGGCTCCGCGCCACCAGGAGTCATCAGTGCAAGGAGATCCACAGAAAAGGAGGGTACGCTGCAGGATGCGCAGGGGAACTGTGTTGGCCTTGTTCGTGGGCAGGCGGTGCCGACCGGTCTTGCAGCCCTGCGGGCTGGAGTATCCACGGAGCGCGGGCGCTGACAGGATGTTGCCAGGCGTTTAGCAGAGCTGCGGGCACGGGGGCCCTCCAGTCGCAGACCGGACTCTGCGGGGCCTGCAGCGGGCGGAGGTTGCGCGAAGGAAGGGGCGGGGCGAGGAGGGGCGGGCAGGGGGAGGGAGCAAGGGGGGAAGTGGAGGAGAGGCGGGGAAGGGAGGGGCGGGAGGGAGGGGGGGAAGGGCGGAAGGGGGAGGGGGAGGGGGCGTGAGGGAGGGGAGTGAGGGGGGGGGGGGAGAAAGGCAGGGATGGGAGGGAGGGGCGGGAGGCAGGGAGGGAGGGCTGGAAGGGAAAGGGGGCGGCGGAGCCTGGAGCGCCCCGCCCCCGCGGGGCCCGCTCCACGCCGCGGGCGGGGCCCAGGGCGGGCGGGCTCGAGTAATCCGAGGGCCCATCTGTGGGCCAGGGTCTGGCATGTGTTTGAAGATGGGATTGTGGCCCACAAGACGTTGGGCCACGCCACAATGAATGACATCCTTGAAGGCAGGTCCTCACATTTTGAGCGTGAGGGCAACAGGCATGCTGACCGCTTTGCCAAGAGGGGTGCAAGCCAGCACCCAGATGTCTCACACGCCAAGCTTCAGTTTGAAGCACTGCAAAGACTTCAAGAGGATCTAATTCGATGGGGTGGGGTCCAAGATGTCCTGATGACCCTGCGTTCTTGGTCGGACTGTTCTGGGTTTCCTGAGGCCTCTGATGAGCAGGACAGTTTGGGCCCCACACCCTCACCTACCAGTGCCGCATTGGCAAGAAGGTACCTCTACCTCAAGTTGCAGAGAGCTTCCCTGCTTCGAGCGGAAAAAGGTTCTGGCTAGGAGAACTCTCATCTCTTTCAAATCCCCGCTTTTTACGGACACTCGTGCTCCAGACATTGGCCAGGCTAAGGCGTTGATTGAAAGCCAGGCCATTGTCTACTTGCAGGGTCACAACCTTAGGATGTATAAGGTCTGGGACGGTGGTGGAGTGCGGGCGGGCGGGAGTGGGTGGTGTATGAGCTGTATCAAGTGCGGTGGGTATGCCTGGGGAGGCGTAGACACGTTGTGCAAGCCGTGTCCCCAGCGCCCACCCACCAGCGCGTCCCCAGCAGCCGTCCGTTTAAAGGCCTCTTTCCCTGCTGGGCAAAGCAGTACAGAGGCTGGCGCCTCACTGATCAGAGGGCGCCAGTGCCGTCGGACCTCCTTGCTCTCGTTCGTGCCACGAAGCGCGGGGTCCAGGTCCTGGAGGATAGACAGGCCGAGGATGGTTGCAGTTTTGATTCCACCTGGGGAGAGAGATGGTCGATCCCAGTCCTCTTTTCCAGGTTCGGAATGGTTCAGCCCGCTGGTCAAGACGCTCCTCTGAGAGGAGACGATTCTGACTAGCCGTGTTTTGCGTTGTTAGGGGTGTCTGGCATTGACAGACATTCCCAATGATAATGAGAATATAATAGAATATGGGGGCAGGCGGAGTTGTGCAGGGGGAGGGGGGAAAGGCGGGGGGTGGGCGGGGGGCGGGGGGGGGGGAGGCGAGGAAAAAGTTTTGGGGCGGGTGGCGAGGAGCGGGAGGAGGGAGGGGGGAAGGGAATGTTTTTCGCAATGCTCAGCCTCGGGGGCCCTTGTCGGGCCCTGGGGCAGTCGAAATACGGTTCAGGACGGAAAGCTGGCCTTGTGGAGAGCGTCTAGATGTAAGGGTGCACATGTTGCGTTGCGAGACTAGTACCGCATTCTATTCATATGCACATCCATACACACACCTACCTACCTACCGACCTACCTACCAACCGACCGACATACCTGCCTACCCCTTCCTACCTACCCATGTGCATGCATGTATGCTATTAAATGCACATATGTGTCTACATATGCACCAATCTACATGTATACTCGTATAGGGTACACGCATGTGTCAGTCGTCAAAAGACTGTGCATGTACACATTGACATAATTATGCATGCGTGCATATGTCTACGTATGTATACATGCATGTCTCAGTGTATATGTGTATGTATAAATGTATGTATATAACCCCCTCTCTCTACCGACATGTGTGTACATAAACCTTACATGTCGCTACATATGTGTGTAGATGTAGCGAACCACATATAGACATATACATGTGTATATGCATACATAGACCTGAAGGTGCAGACTTATACATACATGCGCATGTGTATACATACATACATACATACATACATACATGCACACATACATCAATCCATTGCATGCATATATTCATACATACATACATACATACATTCATACATACATACATACATACATACATACACACATACATACATACATACATGCATACATACATACATACATACATGCATGCATGCATGCATGCATGCATGCATACATATATACACACATGTATATATATATATGTATTCATGCACAAGTATATATACATATATTCATATACGTATATAGGCATGCATGTATGTATCGAAGACGCCTACGGCGAATCACCGCCGCCCTCTACCATTGAAGTCGCCCATGTGGCCGAGCGTTGCGGCAAGAGCTCTGCCAAGCTATCGGGCCATGTGTTCCCCCAATCGTTGTGGAAACCCTTCGAGTAACAGTTCGGGGAGATTTGCGGGGAATATTCGGAGGAGGACTGGGAGGAGGAGGAGGAGGAGGAGGAGGAGGAGGAGGAGGAGGAGGAGGGGGAGGAGGAGGAGGAGGGGGAGGCGGAGGAGGACGAGGAGGAGGAGGATGAGGAGGAGGAGGAGCAGGACGAGGAGGAGGAGGAGGAGGAGAAGGAGAAGCAGGAGGAGGAGGAGGAGAAGCAGGAGGAGGAGCAGGCGGAGGAGAGGAGGAAGGGGAGAAGGAGGACGAGGAGGAGAAAGGGACATCTTGGGAGCCTCTGGGTGCACTATTGGGGCCTCCTGGAAGTTTCATGGGAGCCTGTTGGAGGCATATTGGGGGCCTCCTTGGGCGTCTTTGGGGCCATTGGTGGCTTCTCCTCTTTGGCCGTCTTAGGGCAATCTTGGGCCCCTCTGGGTTTCTTGGGGGCCGCCCTGGGCCGACTGGGAGCCCTCTTGGGGTGCTCCAGGGCCGTCTTGGAGGCCATCTTGGGCGTCTTGGAGGCCTCTTGGGCCGTCTGAGGGCCCTCTTGGGGCCGTCTTGGGGCCTCTTGGGCCGTTGTGGGGCCATCCTGGACGCCTCTTGAGCGATCTTTCGGGGCTCTTGGGCCGTCCTCGGCAGTTGGACGGCCGAAAAGAAGCAAATGCCAATCGCTCATGCTAGCCTCTTCGGGCCTTGCGGGGAGCCCTTTTAGATGCCTCTTGGGCCGTCGTGGAGACCCCTCGGGGGCCTCCTGGGCCATCTTGGGCCATCTTAGAGCCGTCTTGGGCCGTCTTGGTGGGCTCCTGGCCCGTCTGACGCCGTCGGAAGCTGTCTTGAGGGCCTTTCTGGGTCGACTGGGGGCCCTCTTGGGGTCAGGGCCGTCTTGGAGGCCATCTTGGGCGTCTTGGAGGCCTCTTGGACCGTCTTGGGGCCCTCCTGGGGCGGTCTTGGGGGCCTCTTGGGCTGTTTGGGGGCCATCTCGGAGGCCTCTCGGCGATCTTTTGGGCTCTTGGGCCGTCTCGGGCCGTCGGAAGGCAGAAGAGAAGCACAGAAAATCAGTGAGTTTGGCCTCTTCCGGCCTTCCTGGAGGTCCTTTTGGAGGCCTCTTTGGCCGTCTTGGAGGCTTCTCGGGGGCCTCGCGGGCCTTCTTGGACCACGGAGGCTTTTTCGGCGGATGTGGAGGCATCTTGAACCCTCTTGGGCCGACTTGGAGGGTATCTTGGACCATCTTGGGCGAACTTGGAGGCCATCTTGGGCCAAAGTGACCATCTTAGAGGCCATCCTGAGCGGTCTCAGAGGATTTTTGGAGCGGTCTCAGAGGATTTTGTTGCGGACGTCGTGGTCGTTTGCGGTCCCTTTCGGCTGCTTTCCGCGGGGCCGGCGCGCAGGGCCGCGCTGGGCCGGAGCCCCGTGTTGTTGGACCGCTACCCTGACACGTCGATTAGCGAATTGGCCGGTTTCGTTTCGCGAGAGGGCATCGCGGCCGTCATTTTTGCGGGTCCAGGTCCGTCGGTGACGGCCCTAGGCCGTTTTCACCTAAGGGAGGTTTTTCTAAAGGGAGGTTTGTCCACCGCCGAACCAAAACTAAAACCGGTAGGATCTAGCACGCCAGGCACCCCTGCGATGAATCAACAGGGGGCGGCGTGTCGAAGACGCCTACGGCGAATCACCGCCGCCCTCGGCCTTTGGAATCGCCCATGCGGCCAAGCTTTGCGGCAAGAGCTCTGCCAAGCTATTGGGCCACGTGTTCCCCCAGCCGTTGTAGAAATTCTTCGGGGAACATTTGGGGGAGGATGGCAGGGAAGATCAGGAGAAGGAGGAGGAGGAGCAGAAGGAGAAGGAGGAGGAGGACGAGGAGGAGGGGGCATCTTGAGAGCCCCTGGTGGCATTCTTGGGGCCTCCTTGGGGCTTCCTGGGAGCCTGTTGGAGGCATCTTGGGGGCCTCCTTGGGCGTCTTGGGGGCCTTGGGAGTCTTCTCGGGGGTCTCTTTGCTTTGACAGTCTTGGGGCATTTTTGGCCCGTCGGAAGCCGTCGGAAGCCGTCTTGGCGGCCTCTCTGGGCCGACTTGAGGCCCTCTTGGGGTACTCCAGGGCAGTCTTGGAGACCATCTTGGGCGTCTTGGAGGCCTCGTGGGCCGCCTTGGGGCTCTCCTGGGGCGGTTTTGGGGGCCTCTTGGGCCGTTTTGGAGTCATTTTGGAGGCCTCGTGAGCGGTCGTGGGGCGATCTTTCGGGGCTCTTGGACCGTCTCGGGCCGTCGGAAGATCGAAAGGAAGCAAATACCCAAATCCTTCAAACACCTCACGACAATCACTGATTTGGGCCTTCCTCGAGGCCCTCTTGGGGGCCTCTGGGGCCGCCTTGGAGACCGCTTGGGGGCATCTTGGGCCGTCTTGGACAATCTTCGAGTCATCTTGAGCCGTCTTGATGGCCTCCTGGCCCGTCTGACGCCGTCGGAAGCTGCTTGGCGGCCTCTCTGGGCCGACTTGAGGCCCTCTTGGGGTGCTCCAGGGCAGTCTTGGAGACAATCTTGGGCGTCTTGGGAACGCCTTGGGGCTCTCCTGGGGCGGTCTTGGGCCGTTTTGGGGCCATTTTGGAGGCCTCGTGAGCGGTCTTGGGGCGATCTTTCGGGCTCTTGGACCGTCTCGGGCCGTCGGAAGATCGAAAGGAAGCAAATACCCAAATCCTTCAAACACCTCACGACAATCACTGATTTGGGCCTTTTCGGGCCTTCCTCGAGGCCCTCTTGGGGGCCTCTGGGGCCGTCTTGGAGACCTCTTGGGGGCATCTTGGGCCGTCTTGGACCATCTTCGAGCCATCTTGAGCCGTCTTGATGGCCTCCTGGCCCGTCTGACGCCGTCGGAAGCCATCTTGAGGGCCTCTCTTGGCCGACTTGAGGCCCTCTTGGGGTGCTCCAAGGCCGTCTTGGAGGCTATCTTGGGCGTTTTGGGGGCCTCTTGGTCAGTCTTGGGGCCCTCTTGGGGCCGTCTTCGGGGCGTCTTGGGCCTCATGCTTGCCCCTTTGGGGTGTTCAAGTGCCATGCCTGCTGGAGTACGCCGATGACCGCTCCGGATGCGAACATGAGGCGGGGCCCCTAGGCAGGGGGTTCCCGCTCGAAACTCCCGTACAACTTACTGACGAGGCCCCGCTCGAGACATCCTCACGATTTGCCCTCTTGGGGTGCTCAAGTGTGTTGGTTGTTGATTGCTAGATTACCGCCTCGGATTCAAATATGAAACGGTGGAGCCTTAAGAGGGGGCTCCAGGCTCCAGGTTACTATTTCCTCGCAACTCGCAGACAAGGCCCCCGTTCGAGACGTGCTCACGATTTCCCCCCTTGGGGTTCTCAAGTGCTGTGCCTGCTAGAGCTCGCCGATGACAGCCTCGGATTCGAACATGAATAACGGGACCCTTAGGCAGGGAGCTCCCACCCTACACTTCTTCACAACTCACAGACGAGGCCCCCACTCGAGATATCCTCACGAGTTGCCCCCCTGGGACGCCCAAGTTCTATGCTTGCTAGAGTACGCCGATGGCCGCTTCGGATTCGAACATGAAGAGGGGGACCCCTAGCGAAGGGGGTCCCGCCCAATACTCCCGCGCAACTCACAGACGAGCCTCCCGCTCGAGATATCCGCACGGTTTGCCCCCAGTGGGGTGCTCAAGCATTATGTATGCTAGACTACGCAGAAGACCGCCCCGGATTCGAAGATGAAGCGGGGTCCTTTTGGAATGGGATTCCCGCTCGATATTTCCCAGCAGTGCACAGACGACCCCCCCGCGTGAGACATGTACAGGATGGGCATGTGTTTGTGATGATGGTGGTGTTGAAGATGAAGGTGGTGTGCGCTGATGATGATGAGGATGATGATGTTGATGATGATGCTGAGGCGTACGTTGATGATAAAGGTGATGATGATGATGATGATTATGATGATGATGATGGTGATGATGGTGATGATGGTGATGGTGACGACGACGACGTGATCTGATAGTGGTGGTGATGACAATGATGTTGAAGCTGATGCTGATGATGATGGTGATGATAAGAGAGGGAGGAGAAGGAGAGGATGAGGAAAAGGGGTGATGAGGACGTCGCGGGGCTTCCAGCGGAAACAAGAACCCTATTTCTGATACGGGGAAGCATGGAGTCGCACCAGGATTGTTCAACAAAAAAACGTCTGCATGGGTGGTCTTGCGAGTCCCAAGGGCCAGCATAAGTTGTTGTTCCAACGTGTTCACCGAAGGCGACCAGAAGGGCCTTTCGCGCGCGCATGTCGAAGTCATTAGAACGCCGTTACGCGCGTTTTGGGGGAGGGGCACGACCCCTGTCAAATATTGTGCCATGCGGGCCTCTCGCGCACGTCTGCCGCGCTTGCGCATGTCGACAACCGTCCAACACCTGCATGGCCGACGCGAGGACACGAGTATCGTCATCGGCGTGATCAGCATCGGCGCCATGGGCGGCCTTCGCGTCGTCACGGTCACCATCGTTCCCCGCATCGCTACCAGCACCGTCGTGGCGGCCGTCGCCGACGTCTTCGCGATACTGGCCCCGCCCGAGTCACCGACTCGTTCTGACGTGCCCACGTGCCAGCGCGGCCTGCGAGACGCACTAGGAAGGGCCCAGCGGTCAGCGCCACCGCGGCCGCGTCAGTCGCGCCAGACTAGCTGGCCGCTCTGCGCGCGACCTTGCGCGCGTTAGCACGGCCTCAGCGATGCGCCATCCAGCGCACAACAGTCATCGCAATCGCCGCAGCAACGGCTTTGCAAACCAAGTTGCGGGCGGGTAGGTCGGATGAGTGCGCGAACATGGGAGGTGGTCAGTCGTTGTGCAAGTGTTTCAATTGCACCTCGCAGGTTGCACCACATGGAGTGCACCAGAGAATGCATGGGACCTAGACTGCACCACACAGCTTGCACCACACAGCTTGCGCAACGCAGATTAAACCGCATGGTTTGCATCACATGGGTGGCACAACAGCTATTGCACCACATGAGGTGCACAACACGTGTTGCACCACATAGGATGCACCACGCACATTGCACCACACAGGTGCACAACACAGACTGCACCACACATGTTGCACCACCTAGGCTACACCACATAGCGCACGACATAGTGAAGCGCATAGGTTTCACCACATGGGTTTGGCAGCATGGGGTGGACCACATGGAGTGCACAATAGATATTGCTCCACACAAGGTGCACGCATAGGTTTCATAACACATATGTTTCACAACGTCGATTGCCCCCCATAACTTCACAGCACCAGCAGCTAGCAGCACACTGGTTGGGGCCCACGCGCGCCGTCACAGACGATTCTCTAGATACATTTCATAGGCATACGCATTGAATAGGTCTTGCAAACAAAGCAAACATAACGTTGGTAGTGTGTCTGAGAAGGGAGGGAAGGACGGAGGAAGAGGAGGAGGAGGCAAGGGGGATGGAACGAGGAAGGAGTGAGAAGGGAGCGCCCGCTCCCAGGCCCCTGTCTCTCTCCGCGTCTCTCCGCCTCGTCGCTCTCCCCCCTTTCTGCGGAAGGTGAAGGCGATGCTGGGGGAGCTCCACCGTTTCCAGGAGTGTTGGCGCGCGCGCCGTGCTCCCGCTCGCTGAGGCCGTCAGCTTGCGGGCTGGTCTGTGCAAGCACCGAGGCCCTTGCCTCCTCCTTCTCCTTCGACACGTCCTTTGTTGTGTCGTCCGATGCGCGCACTCTTGTTTGGTTTTCACGCTTTGAAGGTACGCTTTGAAGGTTATAGCTCGCAAGCCCTCGTGCTTTGTATCTTCGCTGCCTATCATGGTGTGCCGTCCGCGTGCGTTTGAGCCGAAGGGTCTGCCTGTCGCTGCAGCTGCCCGCCGCCTCTTTGCAGGGAGTGACAAGGGTGGCGGGCCCACAGTCGTGCTTTATCCGTAAGGGCTTCGCCCCCTGCCGCCGGCCCCCTCTCTCGGAGAATGGGCCATGGAAGAGCTAAGTCATGAGGCCTTGGCGCTGTCGTGAAGCAGTATCGAAACTTCATGCGAAGCCGATTCGCAATCAGCAAAACCAACTGATCACAAGAGGGGTTACCACACCTGGCGATTGGTAAGACGTGTATGGTTTACGGGCTTGGTTACCACACCTTGCGATTAAAGGGCCGAGGGAGTTCTCGCAGTTTGGGTTACCACGCCTTGCGATGGATGTGCGTGAAGGGTGGCACCGAATTTCAGAAATGTGGCAAATCCCTGTGTTTTTGGACCCTGACCCCGCGGATCTGCGTGAGGGGTGGCACCGAATTTCAGAAATGTGGCAAATCCCCTGTGTTTTTGGACCCTGACCCCGCGGATCTGCGTGAGGGGTGGCACCGAATTTCAGAAATGTGGCAAATCCCATGTGTTTTTGGACCCTGACCCCGCGGATCTGCGTGAGGGGTGGCACCGAATTTCAGAAATGTGGCAAATCCCTGTGTTTTTGGACCCTGACCCCGCGGATCTGCGTGAGGGGTGGCACCGAATTTCAGAAATGTGGCAAATCCCATGTGTTTTTGGACCCTGACCCCGCGGATCTGCGTGAGGGGTGGCACCGAATTTCAGAAATGTGGCAAATCCCATGTGTTTTTGGACCCTGACCCCGCGGATCTGCGTGAGGGGTGGCACCGAATTTCAGAAATGTGGCAAATCCCCTGTGTTTTTGGACCCTGACCCCGCGGATCTGCGTGAGGGGTGGCACCGAATTTCAGAAATGTGGCAAATCCCTGTGTTTTTGGACCCTGACCCCGCGGATCTGCGTGAGGGGTGGCACCGAATTTCAGAAATGTGGCAAATCCCTGTGTTTTTGGACCCTGACCCCGCGGATCTGCGTGAGGGGTGTCGATTTCGAGCCCCCCCAGCAATTCAGACAACGCGCCCAGGGGGTGCTAAAAAGCCGGTTTGCACCCCCCCCCCCCCCCCCCCCCCCCCCCCCCCCCCCCCCCCCTCGCGCGGTCAATCAACTAGTTACAGTAACCAGCAATAAGTCAATTAGTTACAGTAACCAGCAAGAAGCAGAATTGTAACACTGGAAACTACAACCTACGACTGGTACAGGAAACTGCGAATCACGGGCCTACAGCCTGGTGGCCCCACAAGGGGGCCGGCGTATCTTCTCTTCGCTCCCTTCTCTTCATCCTTCTCCGTCGTTTCCTCCTCCCCTCCCCCTCGTCCTCCTACTCGCCCTCCTCATCTGCATGCTTTGCGACCCGCCCCTGAACCTCCTGGGTGGGAGAGGGTAAGGCGTGCAGTGCCTCTGACCTCAATTTTTGATTGACGGGCGTACGGTTCTTGGAGGCAGCCAGTGTGTAGGCACGCGGTCGAACGAGCCGCGCGCAATTGGGCATGCGGATCTGAGCCGGATCTTATCTCAGCTGATCGCGTCGTTGCCATCGTCCTCCTCGTGCTCATCATCATCATCATCATCATCATCATCATCATCATCATCATCAGCATCAGCATCAGCATCAGCATCATCATCATCATCATCATCAGCCTCATCATCATCATCATCATCATCAGCATCATCATCATCATCATCATCATCATCATCATCATCATCATTGGTAGCCTCCTCCACATCCAAGGCATAGCGTGGCACGGCAGAGCACAGCACAGTTGCAACTCTTGGGAGGTTAACTTCAGCATCGGCGTAGGTAGATCCGTGATCGGAACCAGCCTAATCGCGCTCACTCCGGTTTAATCTAGCGTAATCCGCCACCGGCGTTATCGCGAGCATGAGAAAATCGGTTCCTCCCCCCCAGAAGTTGCCTCCTGAAGCGCGCGCAACACTGGCTCGGGAGCGAAAGAAGGACGCCCACGTACATGAGTCCACATTTGAATGGAGAGAACGCATTGCGCGAAGCTTCGCATCGCGCGGCTGAACTCGCGGACTGGGGGGCCGTGCTCATTCATATACGTGTCTGGGCGCGTACGTCCTCTGTGGGCCTCCTGCTGGCGCGGCACGGCCAGAGCGAGGCCCGCAGACACGCTGACGGCGATGTAGGCAACGGCAGTGCAGGTTTCGGTACGTTGGGAACGCGTGGCTCGTGCTTCCCTACAGCTCGCTGTGTCGTTGTCGTTCGGTGCATCTGCGCAGTTTGGGAATGCAGGAACGTGTGGCTCGTGCTCTCCTGCAGGCCGATTCCCGACATCGCCGTTGAGCAACATCGCCGTCAGCGTGGCTTTGGGAGGCCCATCGCGGCGGCCTGCCACGGCCAGGGCGCGGCCCTGCGCGCACAGCCCTGGCGCGGCTCGGCACGCTCGGCGCGCGCGGCGCGGTCGGGCGCCGGCGGGGCTTGCGTTCTCGGTGCGGTGCTTTGCAAGACCTCGGCGCGGCGCGCTCGGTCGTGCCACGAGGATCAGAGGAGGAACAGGGAGCAGTGGCGGACCGTGCCAAGAAGCACCCTGACTCCAGGGTGCCCTGGGTTTCTTGGGTTTCGATGGCTTCGCCATGGAAGACGTGACGTCCCCACACCAAGAATCCACGGACGTCTCTGTGTCTCAGGGTTGGGTTTCTGGTGGAAGGCTTGTTGTGGTCGGGCCCCGACTGCACCGATATCGCTACCCCTTCCTCCCGTTCCCCTTTTTGGGGTTCCTGAAGGGCCGTCGTCGCCACCGCTGGATTCGCCTCGAAGTCCTGGTCAGAACGCACCCTGGAGAGGTGTGGGAGTGGCGTTCCAGCTGCGCGCCAGGAAGGGCCCCAGGCCCAACCAATGGGGTCCGACCAGATGGGGTCGGAGGATCGCGCCGCATCGCCGTTAGCGTGCGATGCGTCTCGATGCTGATCCCAATTCTCTATGCCAACGGCGCCGATGCATCGCAGACATCGCGACTGCATCTGCCGATGCATCGGCGATGCGGCGCCATCCTCCGACCCCGTCTACTCGGACCCAGTCTGCGAGACTAGTTCCTGGGTGAGGGTGGCCTGTCAGTGGCGCGCCAGGAGGAGTCTATCGGTCCAGGAGTGGTGTCCCTGCATGGCTCCAGGGAGGCCCCCACGGCCTCCAGAGCCCCTCCTCCTCCTCCTCCTCCTCCTCCTCCTCCTCCTCCTCCTCCTCCTCCTCCTCCTCCTCCTCCTCCTCCTCCTCCTCCTCCCCCCACCCCGACGAGGCCCCATTGGGCCCCGGGAGCTCCAGACGGGGCAGGAGAGGCGGGGGACGCCCTAGGCCAGGGCCACCACTGGCAGCCTCCGATCGAAGGCCACCCGCGGGGGCGCGAAGATGTTTCGTCGCGCGCGCCTCGCGAGCCGAGGTCGTGGCCAGAGCGGCTGCCCTCCTCCTCCTCCTCCTCCTCCTCCTCCTCCTCCTCCTCCTCCTCCTCCTCCCCCTCCTCCTCCTCCTCCTCCGCCTCCTCCTCCTCCTCTTCCTCCTCCTCCTCCTCCTGTGGGGCGTCCCCGACGAGGCACTCCTCTTCGCCGCTGCGTGCAGGCGCCGAGAGAGGCAGCTGGCGCGATGGCTTGAGGACCTCCACGTGCACCTGCAGGAAACAGGAGTCAGCGATTCCGTGGGCCTGGGTGCAGACGCACGGGAGGACGAGGAGGAGCACGACGGTGGCCAGCACGATGCCGAAGGCGGCCTAGCGACCAGCAGACGGCCCCCACAATGTCACGGACTCGGTGCGGCCGTGCCCCTCTAGGCGATGCCCGTTGCACCGGAGGAGCAGGCCGGAGGGGCGGCCGACAGAGGCGCGGAGGTTCGCCACGCCCTTGCAGCGCCATGGAAGTTGAGGGGCCACAGCATTTTGGCAAGGCCGTGCGACGACGAGGACGCGGTGCTCTTCTGCATGCAGTGCGGTGCCAACGCGCAGGTGCCGCGGAAAGGCCGTGGCAGCCTGCTGGGTCCATGCCACGGCCCCGAGGCCGCTGGACTAGCAGAGGCGCGCCGGCGGCTGCGAGGCGGCCTGCACCCGCACCTCCAGAGGCAGAGACAGAGGTTCGGGCAGCCTCGAGCTCTCACAGACGCCGAGCGGAGGATTTGGCGATCAGTGCTGGCGCCCGACGCTGGCGAGGAAGAGCAGGGAACTCCAGTCAGACCGGGTTGCGGGCTCAGCTGGCGGCGCCTTCACATCTTCGACGTGGCGCGGCTGCACGGGTTCCCCAGCCCAGCGGAGGCAGTGGCTTGGGAGCGCTCGGCGGCGCTAGACAGCGAAGGCTCTGAGAGCGACGGTATGGCGTGAAGGCGGTGTGCTGTATACACCTCCCGCCCTGTTCCGTTGAGGCCGCCAGACCTCGGCGGCTGTGCGGGGCCGCCGTGGCGGCCCAGGTGGGCTAGACTAGCCCGCCCTCTAACCCAAACCCAACCCAACCCAACCCTCCTTCTCCTCCTCCTCCTCCTCCTCCTCCTCCTCCTCCTCCTCCTCTCCTCCTCCTCCTCCTCCTCCCCTCCTCCTCCGCCTCCTCCTCCTCCTCCCCTCCTCCCCCTCCTCGCCCTCCTATTCCTCCTCTTCTCCTCCTCCTCCTCCATCCTCCTCCTCCTCATCCTCATCCTCATCCTCTTCCTCCTCTTCCTCCTCCTCCTCCTCCTCCTCCTCCTCCTCCTCCTCCCGGGGGGGTGGGCGCCTGGACGCGGCGGCGCAGAGATGGCTGCGCTCGGGGCGGGATGCGCGAGGTCAGACGACGCATCTAGAAGAGCAGTGTCGCAGGCGATGCTTCGCCCCCAGTGCCCGAGCTGCTGCCGAAAAGTGAGGTCGCTCAGAAAAGAGGGGGAAGTCGGGGATAGACCTCCAGGTGGGCTATTCGGACGCACTCCATATCGAGGATGGGCGCCCCCCCTCTTCGTATAAGCCAGAGTCATGTCCAGACTTTCGGGTTCGGTCGAGAGCCCACCAAAAGTCGGGATTGGGGTCGCCATACGGCAGGTTCGTGTCATGTCGACGCGGAGGCGACCCTGGCGCGGGCGTTCAAGGTTGAACGCCGCCAGTGGTTCGGAATCAGCCGATATCGCACGATCCTGCGCGACAGGAAAGCCGCGAGCGCTCGAGGTCGAACGATCCTCGAAGAAGAGAAAACGGCATAAACATAAATCGTTGGCGCTCCGCGCGGATTTCTTGGATCCGCGCTGGGCCTACCCAGGGCGGCGCATCCGGCGCCGCCACTGGCGCGCTCCGCCCGCCAAGGAGGGGGTTCCAGGCCAGATCCGAGAAATCCGCGTGGAACGCCAAAAGTTTATGCTTATGCCGTTTCTTCTTCTTCTTCTTCGTCTTCTTCTGCGATCGAGGTCGAACGATCCACGCGATGTCAGACACCAACGCCGCTGTCGTCACGTCGCGAACCCGCCGTACCCCCCGCGACAGTGTGGATGCGCGGCGGGGGGGGGGGGGCGGCGCCGCGGGGGAGGGGTCGCCCGGCAGGAGCGCGCCAAGGAGAAGGACCCGCTGAGGTATCGGGGGCGGCCAAGAGTCAGAGGAGCCAGAGTCGAAGAGCAAGAAACATGCCACAAACATGAACTTTCGGAGGTCCGCGCGGATTTCTCGGATCCGCGCTGGGACCCCCCTGGCGGCGCCTCCGGCGCCGCCCCTGGCGCGCTCCGCGCGCCAGAGAGGGTGGGGGTTCAGCGCAGATCCAAGAAATCCGCGCGGACTTCCACAAGTTTATGTTATTCAATTTTTTCCTACAGAAGGGACAATGATAATGGTATGCGTTCTAAGGTTTCTAAGGTCCCCAGGATTTCCCCGATTTCCTAACGTTCCTCGGGGCCTGCAGAAACGATGGCCGCCAGATGCACTGCAAACCATGTAATGCATCCTGCGCCAGTCCCATCATGACATCATTCTCGCCCGACAGAGGGGGGTGCTTATTAGGAAAGGGTATGGGATATCCTTCGGGGAACAAGCAATGACATAAACATCAAATCTCGGAGGCCTGCGCGGATTCCTCGGATCGGCGATGGGCCCCATGGCGGCGCCTCTGGCTCCGCGATCCAGCGCCCATTCGAGAAATCCGCGCGGACCTCCGAGTTTTGATGTTCACGTCATTGCTCGTTCCCCTAAGACTAGAAGAGATATATCATGGCCAGGGCCATGAGATCTTCCCAGACCTCATGATCTCAGTTTTTGTTTCAGTGCGTCCCCTTGCCACCCCCCCCTGGGCGTGGGTGTGGGCGTGGGTGAGGACGTGGGTGCGGACGTGCGGACGTGCGGGCGTGCGTGCGGGTGTGGGTCTGGGCGTGGGCGTGGGCGTGGGTGTGCGGGTAGGGGTTGGGGCGGGGATGGCCCCGGCCGCAGGAGATGCGCAGTGCGGGGTTCGACGTCCGCGGTCGGGGATCTGGGATCTGGCGGAGCCCAGGGCACCGAGAGCGGTGGCCCCCGGCGCGCACGTGCCTCGGGCCACGGTGTGCGAGCCCCCTCTCGGGCGGTCTTGGGCACCCCCGGCGAGGTACGAGAAGAACAAGCGCTACTGCGTCGGCATGCGGGAG